AATCAATCGGTCGTGCTTTAAATCTTTATCTTTCCAATATTCATGTTATTTAGACAGCGAATCACTTCGCCGTAAAATATTAATATTTTAACTAAGACTGTACAGTGGTTCAGCAGGACACTGTATCATCAAACAATTTCAATCATTGGACTGACAAAAAAAGATATTCAATAACATGATATATTCACGCCAACAAACGAACCTGGAATCGTTCGATGATCATATTTCCGAGAAATCGCTGATATACTGTCGTACTATCACCAACCAATGGCCATTTCTAAAAAATATTAAGAAAAAAAAATGTCCATCGATAATAAGATATCGTATTATATCGAAAAGTTGAGACCGTTAATTACAGGCATGCAATGACTGCTATGAAACCAGAATCCGCATAAACCAATTGTTTTATTTAATTCAGCATTTAATTCAGCATATTTTATTTAATTCAGCATAAAAGCAAGAACCATTCCTTAACATTAAAATCAAGAAAAGAAAAAACTTCGAAGGCAACATACCTCAGTAAAGGCTTCCAGGAGAACCTTGATGAAGGCAATCAATGAAGATGTATTCTCCATAACATCACATTTCAACTTTACAATACTGTGTGACGCGGAACAAATACTAGAATATAATCTTGATCAACATGTTTTTCAGAAGTATCAGGAAAATTTATGAAAAGAAAATCTATAAAATTCATATTGTTCTTTGCGCATCAATGAAAAGAAAAAAACGTCTATAACAATTTAAGTTGGAGAAGGAAAATTTTAAAACCATTTAAATACCAAAGTTTAAACATGGTTGGAATATTTCGACTGAAATACTCAATATCACTTACCTGTCTAAAAATGAATTGCAATGCGTGAACAAAGAATTCTCCTCGATGGGTGTCAAAATAAGTTGTTTGCAGTGACCATTTGTTTCCGCGATTTCTGCCTTGATGCATTTCCCAAAATAGAGTATTTCATCACACATCATTTTCTCCAATACTTCTAAAATTACTGAGATTTTGTAAAGTAAAACTAAAAATTTTAAAAAGCTGGAAAATTTTTGGAGCTAATCTTCCATTCTTGCAAATACACTAAAATCTTTTACAAAAATCGTCAAAGACTTAACAAATAACTCTATCGGAAATTTATACTTCTTTCGCACAAATTCACATTATTATCTTTCTTAAGTGACGAGAAATTACAACGATATAAAATTCGGCTAATGCATACTGGGGATCCAGAAAGGTGCGGATATTGTTTGTAATACTGCAGATAAATGACCATCAACAAAAATATGTTCCAAACATTCAAAAGTTTGACGAACTTCCCATACCAAATCAATCAACGATAACGAGCTACTCAATGACTTCGTAATAGCTGTCTAAAATAACAAATCTTGGATGAACAGTTCAGTATTTTAATTTTTTATAATAAAAATATCTGAAAATTCGAAAATACAAGGCTTTTTTTTCCAAATCGCAGAAAGATTTTTTCTTCTCGAAAATATGCTACAATCCTAAAAAAAAGTATTTTTTTTAAATCACCATCACAAAATATTTTATTATACCTTACATTGTACAAAATAAAATATTCGCTCTTCTCTCTCCTCGTTTATTATAGGGAAAAGGTTTTTAGAATCCAGTTAATAAAGCCCAAACAAAAATGGAAAAAAAGATAGCTGATCAGACCGAATATACAAAAGCGATAAAACTGACCATTTTTTGCTGAATAAAAATATCCAATAAATCTTTGCTTGAACAATTTGTAAGAATTGCAATTGCTGCCAGTTGATTTAAGGTTTCATTTGTAGCAGATAATGCGCCTAAGCCATTGGTAAACTCATCTTCAAGCTTCAGTCGTATTCGTATGAGTTTCGCTGACATATGATGGACCAGACGTGAAAACTTTTTCGATTGAATAATATCGGTAGACAAATTACGATGAAGAATTTCAGTAAGTACTAGAATAAATGCATCTGATAGTGGATCACTTTCACCAATCTGAAATAACGTACAGATTGAAACCTTCAGAAAAAAGTTAAATACAGATTAAAACCTTCAAATTACTTGCTAAATCATTTCCTTCGAACAGCTGGAAGTATTTGAATATATCGATAATTTCATACTACTAGAACGCATGTTTTATAACAGTACTTCAAGATGCTTGTCATCTAAACTAAACATTAAACTAAGAAGTTGTAATTTTATAAGACTATAAGAACATGAACATAATGATACACATTTCATATAAATGATATGTTCCAAATGAATACATATTTTACGTTAACGTGTGAAATGTATTAACTGGTCGCAGAATATGCAATGAAACATGTTAGTTCGCTGCTGTGATCAAAATTATTCAACATGGAACCGATATACATGATTAAACATAAATTATGCAAAAAAAAAAACAAATAATTTACCAATAAGTATAATTTTGGTAGTGCTGATATTCGACAAAGTCTTGCACTTGATATCGAACGTTCGGTGCTAAACGGAAGATCAGTTCCAGTATTTCGAACAACATGAACACATTGCACCAATGAATCAGCAATCTCCATTACATGACGTACTGAACTTGATGCATCTAACACATCTCGATAACGACGACCGACCATCTGTCGCATTTCTTCCTTTTTCTCTTCCACTTCCACGCTAAATTTTAGAAGTTATAAGTATTTTACAAAGAATCGTGTAAAGAAAATGAAAATGGAACCATACTGAGGAAAATGTATATAGCATTATCTCAGCAGAAACAATTAGTGAAATGAAATGTTGCATCAATAAGTCTCTCAATATAAGTCATATTATCTGTTATAGAAGTTAGCGATAAATTACTCTGAAAATTAAAAAGTTTAAAAGAAGCCGAAATAAAAAAGCAAATCTTTTAAGTATATTAGAAGAATTGAAAAAATAATTAGGACTGTTTATTAAATCATCACATAATGCAATAATCAAACAAGTTAAAAAAAAAAAAAAAAAAACTTAAATTCTCTCGATATATATTAGAAAATCCTTACCAAAGTTTGGAATATATATCCTGTAATTGATCAACTGATAAATCTTGCATCAAACGCTCAACGTCCATTTTATTATTATCTCCCTACTCCAATTTCCTGTTTTCTAGCTGATCCTGAAAATTTAACTTGTCGTGGTAAGAAAATCAAATTTAATCCCTGAATCACACAAAATTGCAATTAATGCACACAACTACCATTCCCAAATTCAATCCATCTTTTGTCGTTTTGGATTTCAATCTTACGCTATCCTTCTTTGGTTAAAATAATAATTTAATCATTCGTAACATATACAAATTAAAAGTCCTGTAATTAATAAAGCATCAATAAGAATCACCATTATATCATTATAACGTTAAATTAACCCTTAAAAAATTTACATAATATTTAGAGTTATACTTATTCCTATCAATTTTAGACTAATTTCATCAGATCTCTCAACTAAAAAGTTCATTGCATAATGCTTGCAGCATTTTGATAATGTATTAGATTTCACAAGTAGTTTGTTGCTTGTAAACTCTGTATTGTGGAAGTGCTTTATTCTAGAAATACCTGCGTGATTCATGGTTGTTTTAATAGGAGAATTTTAAATAATTTTGTAGAGATAAGGATTTGAGTCTAAAATCAATTTAAATTCCATTTAGGAGTTTCATTTGTTACAATTTACCAGCAGATGTTAACAGCATTTAATGAAGTATGATAAAATATACTGTAGTAAACTTCATCTCGTGCTTTGATACACTTCAGCATATATGCTGTTTTTATTGCAGCATCTACAATACAGGCAGGCAATTAGCACAACACCATTATTAAGATAGCAATGTCCGAATATATAATTCTTTAACAAATTCAAATAGTGTTCTCGTTAAAGCAGGAATATTTTGATAGCGATAAACACTAAATGTGTTAATGTTCAAAAAACAACAACAGTAAGGGATTGATTTATCCAAAGATACAAACGGATTGTATCATGAAGAGGATGAATATGAAGCATGCACACACGAATGGTGTTACTTCATTACACACACCAGAACAGTGAAACTCTTGTTAGATCGTAGATCCATTTATCAGTGTCCCACTTCACCAACTTTACCAGAAACCTAAAAGGAAAAAATAAAGTGGTGAATTGGGATGAGTATTGCATATGTAGCATAGATGCAGTTATAATCAAACAAGCATAATAGTGAAATAGATATTCACGTTTTGAACTTGGCTATTTACGGAAAGAGGATACTCTTTTCTTGTTTGAAGAATAAGTTTGCAGCAATTCCAGAAGAATTATCGAGTCGGAATTTTAAGAGGAATTTTTAATTATTATATTGAAATTAATGAGGACGAAATTTGCGATGCAATGAACTAACTCGTTTAAAATCTTGCATATTTGTTGCAGAAAGTGGCGTCCCATAAAGGCGAAGAGCTTCGATTGTTGTATTTTCGGTCCCACCTTGATTATCTTCCACAAATAACTGTATATTTTTCACGCTTTGGAATTTCACGTAACGTAGATTATATAATTCTCCTTCGATAATCTAAAAATTCAATCTTTTGGGATGTTCTAAACAAATGCTTTTTATACCAAAAAGAAAATCATTCATTATACTATCAAAACAGCAAAAGGACTAGGTTGTTTTATACAGCACATATTCTGATACTGATTTTTGATTTCAAATTTTAACCAAAGATTTCCTCTCATCTATCCACCAGTTATGTTGGGAGACAATTCCCTTGCTGGAAATATAACAGCTGATAATACTATATTCAAGAAAATATACCTTTTCAGAAAACGAGATTGTTTGCACACTCTCAGCACTTGCTGCTCGATCAAAATCAAGGATACTTGCAAGATTAGTAAAAATTTTGACTGTTTTTGGTGCTGATGTACCACTGCCCTTCAAATAAATGGAATGAATTTTTACCGGTTGATTAAATGGAATTGATATAATAAGCTGAGGATCGCAATCGGACGTAAGCACGCCTTCACCATTGAGAAGACTCCTGAAATAAAGAAATTATCATCAGAAAACACCTATACAGATCCCTCGCTTACATGAAGAATGCTTACCACTTATTAAAAATACATTGAGATGTGACATGAAATAGCTTAAGAGCTTATGACATACTTTTTTTTTATCAAGTCTTGCAATGAAAGCTGAAAAGCGCTTCACGAACCTCAATGTTGCATTATCATCCTCATTCAAGCATTCCAATTGTGTTTTATCAACAAATGTTATGAGATCAGTTTGTCCCGCGACCGGACTATCTTCTTTTGGTGCATTTTCTGACCATTTTTTCACCAATGTCTCTAATGCAGTTGGATCACCACCACGCAAAAGATCAACTTTCACCCTATATTTAAATTTTGTAAGAAAAGAAAACATATATGACAAAAAGAAGTCTCTTTATCGTCTCATTTTAACGAGTAAATCAGCAAGTCATTACTGAGTTCTTAGTTATTAACCCAAACATAACTTTTACATGCTTTCTTTTCAGTCTAGCGCTTGGCATTTGATTATTCAAAGTATAAAACAGCAACTTATTAAAGCTTATTATTTTAAATTAAAACAAATTATATTCCAGTAACAATAATATTACCTATTCATATATACTATGAATGTAGGCATTGCAGTAACTCCCTGTAGTGTTGATAGATCTTTTGCCTTATCAACGTCTACTTTTACGAATACAACGTTTAAATATTGATTGGAAAGTTGTTCAAATACTGGTGCTATTCGCCGACATGGTCCACACCTTTAGTAATACAAATTATTAATAACATTCCATGAATCAATTTCACATAGAGCTTATCTTCAAGAAACTAAATTATTCAGTAAAGAAAAAGAAAAGCAAAAACAATTACAACAACATTTTGCATTTGAAGATGTCTTACTTTTTCAACGAAAATAATATTAAAAACTTAGGGGCAGAAGTGACGGAGAGTGGAAACCTTTTTCAGTGGAAGTTTTAAAGTCAAAATGCAACAGTTTTCGAGTTACTCTTTCTGGCAAAAAGGAAATGAAATTATTAGCTCTAAAATTTGAAATGAAAATTATTAAGCAATATGAATTAACCAGACTGCATAAAAATCAACAATAACAGGTTTTGCGCCAGCATTTGCCAAAAATCCATGAAATTCTCCATCTGAATTGCAGCGATGAATAACCATGATTGCTTATCAAAACCGAACCACCAAATATCACAATCGATTTATACACAGCTAAAAATTTTACTTCTGAAAACTGACGAATCGAATTTTCTCGAAATACTTTCCTTTAAACCCAGACAAAATGACACTCTAGTTCAATCAAAAATCGCTTCCCCCAATCAAAACTTAATTTTTGCATCAAATTAGCATAATGCTCCACATCCGCTTGAAATACGATAACGTATGTTTTTTTCCCGAATATCAATTTAGCAATGTAGTCGTAATTTATCATTTAAAATCTCAACATTTTTCAACATTCAAGACCAATAACCACTTCCATCTGTTTAGAAAATTTACTCGAATATTATCCCAGAATCTGATTAAAATCATTGAGATCTTCCGGAAAAAAAAAAAAAAATCCATTAAACGTGTAAATGCTGGTGAATAAAACCATGCATGGATTAACAATCTGTCAGCAACAGACGTACATGATGAATTTATTTCTTTCGTTTTTTTAAAATTTCAATTACAAGCAAATATGTGCTACATCATTAAAAAGTTGTGAAAACAAATATACAAATGAAAGAATATTCAAACTGATGTCGAACAGTGCGATTCAAAATTCAATAAAGCATTCTCTGCCGGAACAATAATTACAAGAAGGAAATATTCAATGTATCATTGAATACTAGTAATTTCTTTTACTTGCAAGAAATACAAAAACATAACGTATCAGTGCATTCGCTTATTCTCCTGCTATTTTTATTAAGCAAAGATTGACCATTTTCCTTTTTTCTTTTTTTTTTTTTGTTCCAGAAGAATGATTTGAAATCATGAATGTGGTTGAAGTTGACATATAAGTATGAGTAGAAGAAAATAGCATACATTTCAGAGAGATGCAATCAGTAGCAATAGGTGAAAATATACAAAAGATCCAAAAATTATCAATTTACAAATTCATGAAGAAAATACGTAATCATGTGTTCCATTTCTTCCTATATTTTTCCATCGAAAAGCTTTCAGTGGAAATTTTCAACCACTTCGTTTCCCGAGGGAAAGCAGGATCTTCAGTGCAAATCAGCTTTTATCTTCCATGTTAACAACCATTTAAACAAAGCCTTAAATAAAATTTGAGATTTCAAAATGAATTTTCATCCAATTAAAATTTCCTATATCCAAAATTTCAATCCGAAATTCCTACATCCAAAATTAAGATTTTTTGAAATTAAAAAAAAAAAACATTTACTGTCATGGTAAAACAATAAAAGACTGTAAAAAATGTGGCATAGAAGCCTTCAAGTTACAAGAAAAATAAATATGATAGACGAAAACCACTGTTGCAAAATTAATATTGCATATCGCACAATGAAATAAATTATCGCAAAATCAGGTAAACTTATAAAAATAGAAAGTATGCAAAATTAAATCTGGAATGAAGAACAAAAAAATGCACAATTTCTAAAACAGGGCTCTAAAGCAAAAACTATGAGAGCAAAGCATGAATAATAACAATATGTTTATATTTTACGAAGTTTCAAAACAAAACAACATGCAAATCAGTCATAAAAATGACGTGAAGCAATAACATTTCAAAGGGAAGATAGTACTTCTCTGCTTTCAAATTATTAAATTGCGAAGGATAAAATTCAAAAAAGTCTTGTTCTTAATCGAAAGACAGGTGACACCATCTCTGCACAAACTATTCTAACCACAAACACGACTAGGATTATAAGGAATGAACAAGAGTTGTGCAGATTCGCTGGTTAGGATAAATAAGCTACAGCCTCAGGTTGGCTTACTGTGATCATCCAATTAAATTTTTGGCCAAACCTGAGGTAACATTGTG